GGGCTATCTGATCCTAGGTAACTCCAAAAATATTTTAATCAAAGACTGATTTCTTTCCACATTGTGATCATCAGTTAACTAATTAATGGGTTTATGTAATGGCTTATAAGTTTAATGGTAAGTGCTTTCAAGAATGACTTAAACGGAGAGCATTTGTTGATTCTCTAATACATTGTTCCAGTATTTTGGGAATAGAATTATCAGGTATGGATTCTGGCCTGCTAGAAACTTAAACTATATTTGGTGAATAGGAGGTAGCATTATGTACACATAAGACAGCTCTCTTAGGAGTCCTAGGACTCATGCTTTTTTATTTTTTAGACCTTTGGCCAATACTCTAACCTTCCTTGGTTACTCTGTAGGGTAAAAATAATAGAAATAATTTATTTTTCTTAATCTCCCGGGCTCAAGCAGATGATCTCTTGATACTGCTTCTTCCACCTATGAATTTAAATTTTTAAATTTTATTTTTAAGATCCTTGTATGGAAGAGGAGAAACCTCAGTGGAATATTTGGCATTGGCCCTAAATTAATCTCTTTATCTGTTTCTTCCTTTACCAGTCCTTTTCCTCTACTCCATTCCTTCCTAGGCCTCGGGGGAAGATCACGGTCATGCCTGTCTCTTGTACTCCTCTGCCTACTTCTGGGGGGATGGTACAAAGCTCTTCCTCTAAATCTAGGTGTAAAGTCTCAGAGTGGTTTTACACTCTGCTTCCTCATCCCCAGAGCTAGTTAGTGATATCAGTGGATAGTGCTACAGAGCACCTTTCTCCCCTGCCCTATCTCTTCTGTCCACATTGTTCAGGTTTTTGCTACCTCTCGCCCACTACAATAGGCTCTAAACTGGTATTTCCAAATTTCGACCTGTCCTGTGTAATATTCTGTTTGATTTACTCCTCTACTCATACTGCTCAATGACTCCCTCGTATGTATCAAGTGCCTTACAGGCTCTTTATGGCATTCACAATTCTATAAGATCTTGCCCCAAACTGGATTTGCAGCCTTATGTCCCCAGTCCCTTATTAAGTCTCTCTTCAAGCCCAAACTGAACTACCTATCATTGTCTGAACGTTCCATGAGCCTATCTGTACCTGCTTCTTCCAGTTGGAATGTCTCCTATCTTTTTAGTTCGCTGGCATTTGTTGCATATTTACAAATTGTGGTTGTTTAGAATGAGTTTGGCTTAATTAATGGTGATTAATAAATGGGTGTTTTAGGTATCTGCCTGAAGCAATGTAACAGTTTACTCGTAACCTTTTTTCCTAAGGTGATATTGCCCTTTAAAACTTTGAAAGTAAGAGTGATGGGAGAGGTATTTTCCTTATTCATTCCCTAATAGTGAGAAAATTCATTTGTTAAATTTATTTCTGTTATGGAATATTTAGGCAAGCAATGGATCTACACTAAGTAAGTGAGTGGAGGGCATGATTATGTACCACTACTTACTAAATCTCAATTTTTTTGGACAGAGACAAATCGGAAAGGAGCAAACAACTTTAATTCAAATACCCGCCCCCTCCATAATGTAATATTTTTATCTGCTAAAATCCTATCCCCCTTTAAAGTCTCTCTGTTTTCTATTTCTAGACCCCATGTCCTCTTTGTCAAGAAACTTTTCCTCACATCAGCAGAAGGACTCACTCTTTGGGAGTCCTGTGGCATATGTCACATCCACAAGCATTTATTTTATACCTATTGTACCCCAGGTACTGTGCTGGGAGCTAAAGTTATCAAGATACATAAGAAACAATCCCTTACTACAAGGCTTTCACAAACTAGTGGGGGAAGGAAACTGTTAGGCAACATCTGTAATACAGATTCTTAAAATATACTCTCTTCACCTTATGTAAAATATGAGTGAGGTACCATGGCAGAGGAAAAGATTGAGGACTTTAATGATTCAAAGGTCAAGGAGTATCCTTCCCGGGCAGGAAAGCCTTGACTCCTGGGCCTTGGATGATGAAATGTGGAGAGGGAGGAAGCCATGGCATGTTCAGGAACGGGCATTGCCCAGTATGGCTGGAGCCTGAGGTGCCTGGAGGAAGTGGTGGAGGATGAGATTGGAAGTATGGTTTGGGGCCAGGCAAGGAGTGAGCTTAAAAACCAGGCCAAAGAGTTTGGACTTCACTTAATATTTAAAGGAAGACATTGGAAGTATTTTGAACATCAGAGTAAAATTTTGAGATCCATGTTTTAAAAAAATAACTTTGGTGATATAGTGAAGGATAGATTGGCGCGAAAGATTGAAATTAGAGATAAAAATTAGGTCAGCTTTCTCAGTGATCCCAGAGGTATCTTGTATTTCCCGTAAGACATTTGATAGATTACTTTTTGTAATTAGAGTTATTTGTGCATGTATTTTCCTATTAATAATGCTTCCTGAAGTTGGGCCTTGAGTGGGGTTTTAAAGGGCTGAAAGAGTTTCATAGCAACTACTGTCTGAAACACCTAAGAATTCTGGAAAGTTGCATTTATAGCCCAAATCACTCAGTAGTTGTAGTTTTCTTTCCCTAATTCTTTTCAAACATTAAAGCAGATAAGGCATTAACGATCATTAAAACTCAGTAACTATAGTCATAGTTCATAGGTACCATTTGGAGTTCATACTGTCTTCTGTGTGCTATGCCAAGCATACATATTACCTCATACATACATATTATCTCATTTAACATTTTCAGTAAGTAGTATTAGATCTATTTTACAGATATGCTAAGGCTCAGACCATTTAACATGTCAGGATCACATCATGAGTAAATTTTGCTCTGTTCATGATAGTCATCTTGAAGTCCTTCTGTAACTTGAATGTGTTCCTTCATCAGAAAAAGAAATTTGCCTTTGTAGTTACCTCTCCCTGGAACATTCTTCTCCTAGATACTTGTAAAACTGACCTCTTCAGGTCTTCATTTATATGTCACTTCCTCAAAAATGACTCCCTTGATTATCCTATGTAATGTTTATTTCTCTATTTTAGTTTCTTCATAGTATATCATTATCTGAAATTATATATTGTTTATTTTCTACCCCCAATCTAGGATATGATTTCATGAGATCAGTACTTCGAATGTCTTGTACACTTCTAACTTATATCCACAGCCTTTAGAACAGTCTCTGGAACTTAGTGCACATTCAACAAATACTTATTCAAGGGCTAGATGTGTGAATGAATGAACGCCTCCAGAGCCCATTACTTATTCTTTGGTCCCATCCTCTCTAGGTGTTTCCTTTCTGTTACCTAGCACACTGGAAGAGGATTGACTGACAGCATAACCTGTCAAGCCATGTATCTGGGACCAGACTGAATAATTTTTAAAACTGAATATTTACTCGCTAGGGAAAGAAATTCACAGATCATTCTCTTTCTCATTAGTTAAGATTTTTTTTTTATTATATCTAAGCTTGTAGTTGTATGTAGTTACCTAGCATGTGTGATTAGTTTAGAAGCAAAAATTTCTGATAGATTATTTTGAGAATTTTACCTTATGCATTCATGTTGGCTGAGTTTTGTAGGAGAACATTGGGATTTACATAAAACAGACATTGTTCCTGGCTATTATGGTTTTTAAAGCACCAGACATTTAAAAATACATGTCCTATCTGATATCTCCTTGATAAATTAGTGAATTTATATTATCTTCACACACAAAATAACAGTCCTGCAAGGGTAAATTCTTTCTTTCCTCAAATTACATTTTTCTTTTGTACTTTCAGATTGACCTTTTTCAAAGCATAATTTTCCTTTGTCTTGGTGGAGTCTGAGGTGGCTTACTTTGTCACTAGCATATTTACCTCTTTTCTCACTACCCCACATAGCTAGGAGTAGCTTGTCGATTAACTCCTAAATTCGAGAAGGTGGCCTGTGAAGGAATTTTAAGTACGTTTCTCAGTGTTCTGTGAAGTTACATGATCTTAGCTCAGTTGTATGAAAGGGTTCATATGATTCTAAATTACAGAAGAAGCAAAACAATTCAAAAGCAACCTGTCCTTCACCTTGATCCCTACCTTCTCCAAAAACCATGGTGTAATGCAAATGAACAGAATAATGGTTGAGGAGCAAAATTTTAAGGCATTCTAAGTATCACTGGTTGATTTAATAAAATTAATTAGGCTGCCACGGAGAAAATTTACTAGCGTGCTGGTTAATTTCACAACGTAAAGTCAGGGAAGGGAGGTAGGGTTGAGGAACAACCTTATTAGTTTTGAATAATTATTTAAAGATGTGGACCTGCCTATTTCAAACACTTTGATAGCCAAATCCATTAAGGCTTTAAAATCTCAAGGTTTCCATCCCAGTATATATGGGATGAAATCTCTAGATGAAATCATAAGTATATTAGTTAACAGCTAAGTGACTTATTTAAGATACAAAACAAATAGAATCATAGAATCCTAATAAAACCGTGGGAATGAGAACCTACCTTAAAACTGGCTCATGGGAGGTTTCCATAATCTTAATTTGCTATTGATGCAATTATTGCTTTTTCTTATCTTTTTAATCCAAACAAGATGTTTGCAGTGGCCATGGAAAGGTGCCTGAAATCACATGCCTGAATTCATTTAATTTGCCAACATTGTCTTTTCTCTCTCTCTCTTTCTGGTAATGGGCAAGAGTCAGTTCTGGTGCATTAGGTACTAAATCTCTTCAATTACCAGCCGAGAAGAAAGATTTAAAATTGCGCTTCAAACCAACAAACTGATTTAGTTTTAAAGCACAAACACTTCTCCTGTGGAGCCTAAATTAAACTGCAAAAGGACCCAAAGGCTGAGGAATTAAACAAGGCAGGGCTGAGGCTCAGGCCAGCGATAGGAACCATTTTGGTTTCTTTCACTTGAACCCCCTGTTGCGAAAGGTAGTGGGGGAGAAACAAGCTGAGAGGCGCAACTTGTGGAAGAAAGTGCAATACTGTATTAATTGCTTGATAACTGGACATGGAGTAAAGTTGGTTCAGAGGGTCTAATCAAATCCTTTTCCTCTTTTCCTTCTCTTTTTGGTTGCCCGGCAGCCATTTTCAATGTGGATGACTCTGTGGTTGATCTGGAGACCCTGGCAGCCTTGTATGAAAACGTGAGTGTCAGAGCTAGTTTCCGTGTCTTTCTCCTACCCAAAAAATCACTGAACCATTCATGTTCTCTGATAAGAAGGATTTTGACACAGCGTGGAATAGATTAAGGCACAGAAACACAAGCTTGAATGGGAGTAGACATGAGAGAGGCACTACGTTCCTCACTCACTGTGGTAACTGCAAATACCACACTCATTGCGCATCTGTAAGATAGGGCAGTTCAGACGGAGACCACATATGTGCCCTGGAACCCAGCCCTGATGCCTGCTGGCAAAGTGAATGAAGGTAGGTTGCCTACTTCAATGATGACATACACCAGTGTCTTCCTCTGAAGAGTGGGAATATTAATACCAGCTTGGATGATAACTCTTAGTCCAAATGAGCTGGTGGCATTGAACATGAGAAGCAGTATAGGATGGTGGGTATGTGTTTAGATTTAGGTTTGAGGCTGTACCATTGGCTGCTGAGTGAATAACCTTGGGCCAGTTGCTTAAACTCTTTAAATCCTGTTTGATCATCAGTACAGTGGACAATATAGTGGGCTGTACCTCATTTTTTATATTAAATGAGAATTGAATACATGTAGCAGTAGCAGTGTATTTTGAAAGTAAACAGCACTGTACACATATAAGGTCTTTTGATTCTGGTTATAAGGTGGACATAAATAACCCACAGAATTAGCAGGCTCTCTTGAGAAGATGGCACAGTAGAGTCAGAATTCCCACGATTGTTAATTGTTCTGGTTTCACTGTTAGTTTGCAAAAACGTAGATTGAACCTGAGCCTCTTAAGTAACGGTATTTCCCAGGAAGCTGCTTGAGGCTCCATGGTATGTTGTAGTCACCCAGCTAAACAGATGATTCATTTCTATATTTACGTCCCCTGGGACCTTAAGTCTCTTATAGAAAATTTCCTTAGCCTAATATTCTAGGCCGGGTGGGATCACGAATTTCCTACTCCTTTTCACATCCTTTATATGTATATCTCAGGAGCTGTTTAGTAGAACCAGTTAGGAACTTCTAACATGCTTCATCAGTAAAGCTTTCATTAATAAACCTTAAGGCACAAAAATACCAGGCTATCAGGAGCTAATTATGCATTAGTTGAGTACTTAGAAGTCAGCAAGGTATAGTGGCAAAAAGACTAGTTCTAAGTCAGAAGTTCTTTACCAGATACTTAGAGTAAGCCTCACTGGAATCATCTATAAACTGAAGAGACAGTAATTGATGTTAAAGGACTTTGTCAAAGGCAAAGCACCTTCCAGATGCTTTTTGTTGTTACCATGAGCTCTGGACTATGCACATGGTCGGTACTTGTTAGCTCACAGTGGAGGCTAGCTGCATGCAACTGCAATAGTTGGATAAATTGGGAAGGTATGTGACCAAATGCCAAAACAAGTGGTACAGACAGGTATTTATGAAATGCAGAAAAAGGGATGATGGTGGCTAGAAGTAAGAGTGGGGAGCCAGTGTAAGGTAGGAGGGCTGTTCTGAGGGTAGGGAGGTGAATGCTGAGGATGACTTGCCCCAAGTCTGCTTATAGGGGAAGAGACGGGAGAGTCAAAGGTAGCAGACAAATGTCTGGGTGCATTTGTTATGACCATTTGTATTAGCCAGTGATTCTCAAACGTCAGCATGCATTAGAATCACCTGGAGGGCTTGTTGGCCCCACCCCTGGAGTTTCTTGTATCTAGAGTGGGCCAGTATTTGCATTTCTAACAAGTGACAGGTGATGTTGATACTACTAGTCTAGGGAATGGAATCACACTTTGAGTTTTTCTCTTTTTTTTTTTTGGAGACATAGTCTTACTCTGTCACCTGGGCTAGAGTGCATCGGTGTCATAGCTCACAGCAACCTCAAATTCCTGGGCTCAAGCAATCCTCCTGCCTCAGCCTCCCAGTAGCTGGGATACAGGTGCTCACCACCACACCTAGCTAATTTTTCTATTTTTTGTAGAGACAGGGTCTTGCTCTTGCTCAGGCTGGTCTCTAACTCCTGGCCTCAAGCAGTCCTCCTGCTTTGGCCTCCCAAAGTGCTAGGATTACAGGCATGAGCCACTGCACCCGACCTAGGGATCACACTTTGAGGCCCACCACCTTAGACAGACTCTGATTGCTCATTTGTTCTTTTCTTTTCTATTGAATGCAGAGAGCCCAAGAGGATGAATTGGTTAAAATAAGAAAGTATTACGAGACATCCAAAGAAGAAGAATTGAAGCTGCTGGATAAACCTGAGCAGTAAGGACACTGGAACACTTTTCTCTTAGGCCAAAAGAACTGCAATTTCTACCTCCTTGTCTCCCAGCTCTGAATAACCAAATCTGAATTGTACAGTGAGCTAATTCACATCCCTGTCATCTCTGTGACCTACCGCATGCAGCAGAGTGACCTACTGCCGGGGAAAAACAGCCCTGAGATTTGTACTGCTGAACACAATATGTCTCCCTCCCTCCCCCCACCCCACGTGACTCCCCTTTCTTGTTCTAGCAACTTGTTAATTCCTCCTAGACTAAACATTTTGGCCAAAAGGGACTGAGGAAGGAAGAAGGCATTGCTCTGTTTAAGGTTCTTCTGATGTCATTAAAAAGATGATATCAGAGTCACAGAATTAAAATTTATTTTTCTAAACGTCACATCCAGTAAATGTAGCCGGAATGTGCCAGCTTTCCCTAGATTTCTCCACCTGCTCTGCCCAAGTCCAGTGTGACGCTCTCACCCTCACCCTTCCTGTGCTTGTTCTTTTCTCCACTCACTGTCTAGAGCTGCCTGCTCTACAGTTTGGGATTTTATTCCATATGCTTTGCAAACCCAGAACTCCAGTGTACAACTGAGTGACTCTTGTCCTAGGCTGGGCTTTTGGGGTCTCCAAGCCACAGATAAGCTTCTGGGGCTCTGCAGCCCCAGGGCCCCACCCAGCGTTTCAGGGCCTAGGACTCTGTGAAAATGTAGAATGGGTTCAGAGCGGATGGGGGCTCCTTGGCCTGTTGCTACCTTCCACGCTTCTTGTTCAATTCAGGCCAACTCTCTCAACCTAGAGGTGAGGCAAGTGTAGGAAACAAAGAGGAAATGGAGTGATCAGATTCAGGGTAACAAGTCAGCCCTAGAGGCATCGATGGCTTGTGCTGAAGCCTCCATGCCTTGTCCTTGGGTCCTCTAGAATGCCCCAGTCACCATGGATGCCTGGACATTTAGACTCAGAAAAATAGCTATAAATGACTGGGGGTGGGAGAAAGATTTCTAGGTTTACTCAGTTACTGATAAACCTTCATGATAGTTTTGGGAACCTTAGCTGAGTTGCTGTCATATGGAGCGTGGCCCAAGATCCTCTGCTCCCCAAGTTAGTTCATAAAGCCTAGAAATATTGTGAATCAGGTCAGATGGGCTGTAGAAGCCCATCTGCTCCACACACCTGGGCCCCCTCCCCACCACCTCCTACCCCCACCTGATCCTGTGGTTTATTCCCAAGTCATGTTTCCTAATATAATAAATTAATTACTGCCAAGGTTCTAATGACTGAAAGTGAAGTGATGAATAATGGGATATTTAGACACTGCGACAAGGCCATGGGGGGAGTGTATTTGGGGACAGTCAGGCATATCAAGTATTTAGGTAGTGCCAGTTATTCCAAGTTGTGCAACTCCTCTAAGCCTGGAGTTGGCAAACTTCCTGTGAAGGACCAGGTAGTATTTTGGGCTTTGTGGGTCATAGGATCTGTCACGGCTATTCAAGTCAGCCATTGTAGTGTAAAAGCAGCCACAGACAATACATAAACAAATGGGCATGGCTGTGCCCCACTGAAATTTTATTTATCAACAGTGAAATTTGAGTTTCCTATCATTTTTACGTGTCACAAAATGTTACCCATCTATGGATTCTATTTTCAACCATTTAAAAATGTAAAAACCATTCTTAGTTCACGGGCCATACAAAACAAATGGTGGGCTGGATTAGGGCTGTCCGTGGGCGTAATTTGCCAACCCCTTACCCACTCAGCAGCCCCTGCTCTAAGCCATGGGAATGGCTGACCCAGTGAAATGAACAGCTGGGGAGAGATCGTGTGTTTCTGCTACTAGAGGCATTCTCCTTTTCCTTTTGTGCTATTGCCTTTCCATTAATAGTATTATTTTTCAAGACAAATTGCTAGGATGTAGAATAATGGTAGCAGATAACTAACAGACAACTTATTCCTGTTTTCTGTACTGATGATCTAGATAGAAAAGAATTTTTAAAGTTTGTAAGTGATCATCGTAATGACTTCCCAAACACGCAAAGCTGTTATTGACGCAAAGAGGACTGTCATGTCGTGCTGGCGAGGTGACATGCTTGGGGGGAAGATGAGGCACAGAGAGGTAGGGACCTTCAGTCCTGGGTGAATTTCACCTTTGTTCCCAGCCTCCTACACAGGCCAGCGTTTGTTTGATTTATGCCAGAGTCTGATTCTCTGGCAACTTATTTGCCATTAACTTCAAGTGAGTCGACTATAAGCATGTTTTACATACTGGAAAATATGAATCGTTTATAGTTTTAGCACCACACTTTTCCTAAGAGTCCTGTGGTGCCCAGTCCTATAAATCATAGCTTGGAGAGACTGGCTTCATCACTCACCTCATCAGCTTGCTTACACCCAGTACCAGATTTAGAAAGCCATTTCCCACAGAGGTGTCGTCTGCTTGGGACCAGGCTGTCTGAGAGCCACTCCCTCTGGAGATGGCCCTTGATTCTTTTTGTACCCTGCCTGCTGGTGGTGGTGAGGCGAGGCAGGACTCCACTGAGTTTAATTGGGCCTGATGCGTGGCCTAGAGTGAGGATGCCACGTGCAGCCTACCAGGGATGCTCCACCAGGGACCATAGCTGCCTTGGGACCCCCCAAACCAGGCTCTGTTAGAGTACTCCTCTGTGGAAGAACACAGGTTACAATGTTAAATTATGCTGTGTGGATAGCCCACGTGCACACAAACCTTAGATAATATCATTCAGAGGTTTAAGGGATGATGAAACAAATGTTTATCCCTTAAAAACATTAGGCTACTTTGCATCATTCTACCCGTCAGCTGAGTTGCTGCTGTGAATGTGTAACCCAAACAACGTGAGACACGGAATTTCTCTCACATGTATGGCTAAAATTGCAGTCCTTCTCATGAAAATTAGCCTACATTGGGGAAAGAAGGGAAAGGTTCTTTATTTGTGGTTTCTTTGGGGTAGGGGACAGTATTTAATCCTATTATTGAACCTAGAATATAAAGTTAGATTAGCCCAAAAGGAAATCAATCTATAAATATTCATGAGTACCAAGGCCCGGTATCCAAGATCCTATACTTGGGGATATGTACGAGAGTATTATCACAGCTCTGGTGGGTAGGGTATGAAATACAGTTGAGGGGACGAGATATTTATCAGACACTTGCTTCACAGCCTTCCAGGTACCCTATACCCCTGGTGCTTCACCAGATAAATGGGAAAGGAGCTATGATGCTCTTCGCATGGCTATTTTTGGACAGCAAGTGATATAAAATCATATTTATTTTTTTCCAAACTTCTCTCCTATTTTGTATCTTCACATTCTACCAGTTGTCCAAGCCAAAAACCCACAAGTCATCCTCAACCCTTCTCAGCGTGCCTTGGGATTAGGCTGTCGTCACTCTGGGCCTTGCTGCCCTGGTAGCGTTCTCATCCATTTGCCCCTCTGCATTCACACTGCAGGCCAACTTCCCTTTTCTCTTGCAAGATTACAGCAGTGGCCTAGTAGGTCTCCCAGCTTCAAATTTCCTGTCATCTCCAACCAGCCAAGCCACTGCCATAGGGATTTTCTAAAATAAAAAGCTTAAAGTATCACTTCTCTATTTAAAGCCCTTTTTTCCTTCAGAAAAAAGTTTAAATTCCTTATTTTAGAACACAAGACCCCATTTTAGCATCTGGTTTCTGCTCACTTCCCCCACAGATGCCATTCAGACTGTCTGGGCTCTCTGGCAGTTTCTCACACGTGTGGTGCACCAGTCCACCAGGGCTCTGGGAACCCCAACCGACGTCCCTCCGTAGCTCCCCTTAGAGACCCCATCGCTGATAGCACGTATCACCCTCCACAGTAGCCATTGATTTATTTCTCAGATTATTGAGAAGGAACTGTGTGTAAGTTAAATTCTGTTCCCAGGTCTTCACGTGGTGTCTGACACACTGTAGATACTTCATATGCACCTAAAGGACTGACCGACAGTCTTGGTGACTGATGCTCTAGTATTAATTTTCAGTGACATGGTTCTATCGAAAAGTAGCATAAAATTCCTCAACTTCTCTCCCCCACCCCAACTCTTTAGATGTGTTCCAGAACCTCTCCATGCAGAGGATGTTGGAACTTTAAGATTCTCTAAGAACCTTCCCAGTGCAAGCCCAAACCCCAATAAGGCTTTAATCCTAGAGGGTCTTACAATTCGATCTTACCCTTTCTTGGATCACACAAGTTTTTGAGCCTATGGTCTTGTCTCCTCATATTGGTCCCAAACCACCTCTTTTGAGACTAGATATAAGCAATTATTCATCCAGCATTCCCTGCTTTTCATCTGTGTCCTTGCTGGTGAGCTGAGGCATTGATCTGTATGTTCTCTCACGCGGTCTCTGTAACTGCTTCACTTGTTTTGTTCATTTTGACTAGGGAGCGGTACATACTCTGGGGATGTGCATCCTACTTGGGGAAGGATGTCTCATGGTCACATATGGAAGAGGAGAAATGCAGGGTACTTCCTTCCAGATAGCTCAGAATCTGAATAAATCAATCTCCCCGATATTTATCACAGGACCAACTGCTGCCAGTCCTATGAGCTTCTTACTCCTTGTATATTTGTAAAAACTGGTGATACTTCTGATTTCAGTCATGATAAATGATTCAAGTGTTTAATACTATATTTATGAAGAACCAATTTACCCATAGTTTAATTTTTTCTTCTTGTCCTAATCTAGGATTCCTATGACTTTCTACTTTTATATTCTATCATATGATTTTCATAATAGAGTTACAGAACTTTAGAACAAAGATGTGTTTTCTTTTATGGGTATTCCTTGCTTCAATTCAATGTCATTTTTAAAAAAGATTACAATCTGGTTGTAGGAGAAGTAAGAAAAACAGCTGATGATTAGAAATTTATTAAAACCCAAATCTCCCCAACAGTATCAGCCAAGAAAATTTCTTTGGATATAGAAAGAAGTAGGCTCCAACTTCGCTCCTGTGTAAAACCATTCTTGGTGAGAGATTGCAAAATTCCAAAGTAATGATGTTGTGAGTTGACCAAGACTTTCAGAAATATCAGTTAATCATCATTTCAACTCCAAAATGAAATAAATGGCTGTTGGTGGATTCTCTCCTTTTCTGTATTCATATCCAACTGTTTCCACCTATTTTAGTTTATACCCCTTCCTCTGGTCGTTGGCCTGGAGAGTATGTAGCTCTTCCAACTTAATTTTGCAAAGGGCACCAGTGCCCAGCTGCTCAGACAGTGAGCTACTGTGTGTAGGTCAGTACTCACCTTTAGCTTTTAAGATCTTTCTTGCCATTTTTTTTAAATAAAACTTTAGATTGTTACTTAATGAGTACCTGCTTTGTTATAAGTACTGAGCTATGAACTATGTCTATATGGGTAAGTTGATGTGAAAAAGCAAACAAATATTTGGGGAATTTGATCATTATAGACCATTATGTAATTCATTGAGCAAAAATAATAGCAATATCACTTCAATAAGAAAAAGTTTTTTAATCACTTGTCTGTAGATATTTGCCTCAAGTCTTCAATTTCCTTAGCCTCTGTGAGTACACCTTTAGAGAATGCTGCATTGTAAGGGAGTTTTTTGTATAATTTTTCTCATATGCTAACGACTAGGGCTTTCCATTTGGGTTGACTCTCCTATTTGGGTAGCAGGATTTAGATAACTTGTTGATGATTCATTTAGTATACTGGTTAACATTCTATTTGTAAAGTAATTTATACAGCATATGTTTATTCAACATCATAGAAACCCATTAAAAAGTGGCCATGTTGTCACCATTGAACACATACCCTTGGAGTTCCTTGAATTTCTGCCTATCTTGAAATTGTCAAATAAATGTTCTCATGGTGGATCTTTTTCATCCACCTTTTTATTTTCCTTGTGATTTTATATGAAGCTAAATGATTCATTTTTATTTTTTTACAGATTTTTACATGAGTTAGCCCAGATTCCTAATTTTGCTGAACGTGCCCAGTGCATAATCTTCAGATCTGTCTTTTCTGAGGGTATCACCTCCTTGCACAGAAAGGTAGAGATCATCACACGAGCTTCTAAGGTAGGTTTCTTTCTGATTTTAAAGATATTTTCGCTGTTATTGGGGGTAAAGGAGGAAGTCGGGAGGAGAACAGGTTAACTATAGTGCCATTATAGAAACTGACTTCAGATTGTGGATTTTTCTAACTGTAAATGTGATGATTATCCGACCCAAGTGTGAGGGGGGTGTGTGTGTGCATGTGTGGGAGAGAGAAAAGGAGATGCAGACTGAAGAAGAGAAGGAGGAGGAAAAAATGATACTTTTATGGATTTCTTCTCAAAAATTTCATATGTCTTCTAAAAGTTCATACTGACTACTAAAAACCAATCTACATAGCATAGTTCGTTTCCTGTTCTGCAGTCTGGATTGCAAAAGAGATTTTGCTTTAGATCCATGCACGTGATCATCTGAAATGTGCCTATATAATGAAATAAAAGAATTCTAGAGACTTGATAAGTAAAATAAATGACTGTGATGATGAGTGATTGGCAAATAAATTTTTGTTGGCTTTACCACACTGTGTTCATTATTGCAAAGTTAAATTCTAGCACTTGGCTCTTTTCCACAGTTCGCCTCTGCTCTTAAGAACATGGTATTCTTCTCCACAAATACTGTAGTACTTAGTTGTTTATCGTAGAGGCATGATTTTTGTTCCTCTAAGATATGACAGATTTCAATGAAGAAAACATAAATATTACTGAAGTATAATATACACCCACTAATAATACCTGAAAGGCAGGAGCAGAAGTCTGCCCGGAGCTCAATTTTGCTTGCTTTCTTTATCTTAATATAAAGGAAAATAAAGTTAAGTAAGACTATAAAGAAAGAAAAAAAGTTTCAGTTTGAAAATTTGCACTGGAAGCTAAAAATAAATAAATGAACAGCAAAACAGATGAGATAGGGAGCCAAAGAAAATGCTAAGCAGCTTGAAATTGTAAAAGTTAATAGACATACTGCAAACACTTAATAAACATGAGTTTAAAAAATTTAATAATCATTGCCTATGGCCTTAAAATGTATTACTATAGTTCACCTCTGAGGATTATAGCCAGGGATGAAGACGAACCTACTTGCTATTATGTCTACTATGAATTTTATTGTTCTTATAGATACATAGTCCCCAAAACACACCCTCAAAAGATAATCCTCTTTCTAGTTAGAAGATTAAGCCTAACTATACCAACTCCCTTTTTACAATGTATAAGTACTTTAAAATAAGTATTAAAAATTAAATTGGTGCAAATGAAAATATAAATACTAATATTTAATCCTCAGTATTAAAACGTGTGCTGTTAATTTGTTGAGTGGGTAGAAAATGATGGCTGTTAACGTATGTTTTAAAGACATTTAGGGCTTAGTAAAATATATTTTTCATTTCACCAACTGTTAATCTCGTTGGTAACAAGCCACCAAATAGCCTATGGGGTACTCTATAAATATTTGTTGTTGAATGAACATGAGTACGTTGGGAGTTCAGCTCCATAATAATTGGTGTTTGCTGTCACAGGGCTTGCTGCACATGAAGAGTGTGAAGGATATTTTAGCTCTCATTCTGGCTTTTGGAAATTATATGAATGGAGGAAATAGGACTCGGGGACAAGCCGATGGATATAGCTTAGAAATTCTGCCCAAACTCAAGGATGTCAAGAGTCGGGTATTTATTTATTTTTCATAATGCGTTTCTGTAATCTGCCATTATAGTCTGTCTTTACCTTTAATTAAAAAGAAAAGTATTCCAGATTGTTCCATACATCTCTATTCTCCCCCTAAGAACAATCATTTATATTAGAGCATGCATTGTTTTCTTTGCTTTCTTTTGACTTTTGAATAAAAATAGGTTTTTAATGTTAGACCTTATTTTCGATGGCACAATCCCCCAACTTTGTTTGCTCTCATATACACAATTAGGTATTGAACAGCTACCCACAATGAGGGGATAAAACAGATAGCATCCAGTGTTAGTGTAGTGCAAAGACTGAAGGCTGTTTGAATTTAGTGGTGGTTACTTGTAATTTACTCATTCCTGAGTGGCAGAGAAATGTTGAATCACCAATTGAGCTGAGCATTGGAATTATTCTTTTGCTCACAACAATTGGGCTGGGGGGTCTACTGTCAAACTCTCAGAGCCTGATTATCATTTGGCTCCACACCCCTGCAGAGCTACCTCTTTAGAAACAACCAGTCCATATCTAGGCATCCCTTGGGGGGAAGGGGGGTGGAGGGAGGGGAAACACACAGGCAAATTAGAATTAGACCCCTGTGAACAAGACACAAAGGCTGCCTTGTGGGAGGGCCTGCTTGCCTGGCCTCCCAGGGTCATAAAGTGGCATGGTGCTCCTTTTAAGCTGGCCCTGATTGTTTTTCACGCCATTAAGAACACTCAGTTTTTGAAAGGTGGGAAGGGAGGGATGGTTTTCTGTTCTAGACTCTGATTTCCCTTAGCACTCCCCACCCCCTCCTGTTTTGGCTTTATGCCAGAAAATGTTAGGAAACAATTTTTTGTTTGTTTTAGCCATTATCTCTGAGGTCTTATGGATTATCTGTTTGTTTTTCCCCCACAAAGGATAGTGTATTGTCATTTATTTGTATAGCTGGCATAACAAATGGATGGGACAAGGAGGAGGAAAGAAAATCTTGCCAGTATCAAACAGAATTAGGGCCAAGTTTCACAAATTAGAAGTTTCACAGCCTGAGATTTCAGCTCCCAGCTATGTAACAGGCTGTCTCATGGGAATGCTTTTCATTTATGTTTCTCTTTTAAACCTAGGATAATGGGATTAATCTGGTGGACTATGTCGTGAAGTATTACCTGCGTTACTATGATCAGGTAAGAAATGCCATTATGTGGAAAACTGCATTAATGGGGTTTCAACTCTTACACATTGTTGGCATTCAGAAATTGGATGATGGATAGATGCATGGATGAATTTCAAGTCTAACAGAATTTGAGAGCTCTCCAGCCTCCTTGGTTTACAGAGGAGAAAAGTGAAGCCAAGAGATTCTAGTTGACTCGTATGAAGGGAGGCTTTATTCAGTGGCACAAATCCACAGATTCTTAATCCACAGCTTCAGAGAGACCTCCAGTTGCCTCAGTGCTTTATGACCAGATTATGAAGTTCTCTGTGAAATCTAGATCCACTCAGTAATTGGTTATAGTTGAAACTGGATTCTGAAGATACAGAACAAAATTTAGGAAATTAAGACACATCAATACCCAATATTTTATCAGTAATACCTCTGTGAACAAGTTGAAGGTGTGGAATTTGAAAAATGCATCTTCTCTGCTTAGATGACATTTGCAATTAGAAATAAACATTTCTGTGAAAATCTACCTGAACCCAATTTTCTGTTTTATTCCTTCTTGTTAAATCGAGAACAAGGAGTCCTAATTTTGAGAAGAAAAAGGTACTGTTATAAGTAGTTGAGAAATACAGCAATCACTATGAATGGAAAAAATTTCAAAGGAAAATGTTGTCAGGGCACCTGCCTAACTGTCTGTGTAAACAGGGTTTTTCCTAGGCACCGGGAGAAGAAAATTAAAGATTCCAGGGCCTTGTTTTCAAAAGGCCGACAATTTCATCCAGAAGACAAGCTAGGCACTGATGAACTCTTTCATAATTTCTCCTACCCTCTGGTGGCCTTATCTAACTGTTCTCTATATATCTACAATCAGGCTTATTATTTCTCCCTCTCTCCAAACTTCTCCCCTGTTTCTATTCGGGAGATCATAGTTTTTGGTCATTCAGGCACGAAGCCTTGTTGACCTCTTTGGTTGCTTTCTGTCCTTCAACTAAGTTGTTTCTGATGTCTCTCCATGTCTTTCTTTCTTACTGACCCTAGCTTATTCAGGCTGTAAGATAGCTCACCTGGAGCTGCTGCAGCTCATCTCCCCACTCAAGGCCAGCCCACACCCTCCTTACATAGTTCTGATCATAGCACTTTTTTGCTCAAAACAGAAGTGGCTCCCCATTTTCAAGCCAATTAAGGCACTATTCAATTTAATTCTAATCTTTTACAACCATGCTTTCATTACTTTCCCTCTACACATATTCTGTGAGCCAACTCAAGAGTTGCTGTTTTCCAAACACACCCTGTGCTTTCTTACTAATGTGTTTTTACTTCTGATGTTCACTCTAACTGAAACTAACTTTATTTCTGCCTTTTTATAAAGCTTTCCTTTTTTTCTCATTAATCATCTCCACAAATATTAAATTTAAAGATCTTTTAGGGAAAAGCTCCCAGTAACATTACTAATGTATGTGTTATAGACTTAACCACAAAAGTACAGATTCTTGTGAGGAAATTTACATTATTTTACTGAGAGATAAAATATAAAGTGAGGAAAAAAACCAAACAAACCCAATTTAAAAAACGGACAAAGGACTTGCATAGACATTTCTCCAAATAAGGCATACAAATAGCCAACAGGTGCCAGTATCCCTAATCATCAGGGAAATGCAAATCAAAACTACAGCGAGATATCCTGTCATGCCTGTTAGGAAGGCTGTTATAAAAAACACAGAAAATAATAAGTGTTGACAAGGGTATGGAGAAATTGGAACTCTTGAGCACTGTTGGTAGAAATGTAAAATGGTGCAGCTGCTATCGAAAACAGTACGGAGGTTTCTCAATTAAAAATAAAACTACTGTGTGATCCAGCAATCCCATTTCTGGGTATTTATCCAAAAGAATTGAAACCAGGATCTCAAGGAGACAGTTGTACTCCCATGTTCATTGCAGCATTATTCATAATAGTCATGATTTGGAAACAACCTAAATGTCCATCAACAGATGTATGGGTAAAGAAAATGTGGTAGGCCAGGCGCGGTGGCTCACGCCTGTAATCCTAGCACTCTGTGAGGCCGAGGCGGGTGGATCGCTCAAGGTCAGGAGTTCGAGACCAGCCTGAGCAAGAGTGAGACCCCGTCTTTACTAAAAATAGAAAGAAATTGGCTGGACAACTAAAAATATATAGAAAAAGTTAGCTGGGCATGGTGGCGCATGCCTGTAGTCCCAGCTACTCGGGAGGCTGAGGCAGTAGGATTGCCTGAGCCCAGGAGTTTGAGGTTGCTGTGAGCTAGGCTGATGCCATGGTACTCTAGCCCGGGCAACAGAGCCAGACTGTCTCAAAAAAAAAAAAAAAAAAAAAAAAAGAAAGAAAATGTAGTATATGTGTACTATGGAATATTTTTCAGCCATAAAAAAGAGGAAAATTCTATCATATGCTGCAACATGCATCAACCTTGAGGACATTGTACTAAGTAAAACTAATCCAGTAGCAGAAGGGCAAATATGGAATAATTCTACTTGTATGAGTACCTAAAATAATCAAACTCATAGGAACAGAAAGTAGAATGGTGGGGGAAGGGGAAAATGGAAAGTTGATGTTCAGTGGACACAGAGCATCAGTTATGCAAGGTGAAAAAATTCTAAACCATCTGCTGTACATTGTTTATAGTTAACAATACTGTACTGTACACTTAAGAGAATGAGTCTCATGTTACATGGTTGCTTACAACAATAAAAGAAATAGAGTGACATACTCTCTAGTGGAAATACTAGTCAGAATTCCAATCGATCTTAGAAATTGGCAAAATTATTTTAAATATTATGTAAAAATAATTGGACAAATTTGATCAGGATTAAAGAAAGGAGAAAATCACTCATTTTTGTATTTAAGTGTATTACAAAGCTTTAATGATTACAAATGTGGAACGATAGAATAACAGATTTAAAAAACTCAAGAAAATGGAAAGGAAATCTCAGAAATGGATCCAAATAAATATGTGTTAAGTATGTGATAAAGGAGAAATTTCAAGTAATTGGGAAGAAGAAGAAATTAAATTGTCTCCTTGACCTCATACCAGAGACCAAAGTAAATTTCTAAAGAACAGCGGAGTTAAATGTAGAAACAAAGAATAAAAGACATATAAAATATAGGTAAATATAATAGTTTTCCAGTCTTGGGGTAGTGAAGTCCTGTCACAGCATTCAATCTAAGGCAGAAGCCGTAAAAGATGAGAATGACAACCTTGAATGCATAAAAATGAAAGACTTTAATTCCTAATTAAAATTGAAAAACACTTTAGTATATCAAAAATGACTTAAAACCAAATTATAAATAACATACTGGGGAAAATATTTGCAACCTAATAGATAATGAACTCTCTAGAATTAACAAGAAAAGGAGAACTTGTCCTTTCTTACTAAAAAAGGTGGCAAAGACACCACAGGAAATTTACAAAAGACAAATAGAAGATATAAATTGCCAACTAGGCATATATTAATAGAATGAGCAATGTGAATTGATCAAACCTTTCTTAAAACTATCATGTATGATTGATCAGGTTATACTCTATTTAAGGTCTCTAGGCCAAATGAAACTCATATCTAGCCTGCTCTTGACTCACCAAACTATATATCCTATAAAGGGCACCTTTTAAAAAAAATTCACATAAGGATGCCACGTGCTTGTCATGATGTTTGTCCATAGAGCTGTGCCTATCTACAGGAGATACCTTTTCCTACTTCATATAAATACGCTGTATAGCCTAGCAAGGTTTTGACCTTTTCTGTATTGAAAGTCCTAGAAATGTACATAACCTTTCTTGAAATTTCTGCCCTGAGGAAATAACTAAGGACTTATATCACCGTTTTCTTATAATAATTTCTAATAGCAAAATACTGGAAAATTTTTAGTAGGTGTCCAATGACAGAGACTAAGTTCAAATAGCATCATACACTGGAATAATAAACTGCCAGGGAAGTATATAGGAGAAAATTTAGTGACATTAGAAAGTTTTCTTGATCTGCTTTTAAGTTACAAGCATGTGTTTCAAAATTATATGTATATTATAATCTGAAATATGTAAATATAAATACACATAAACACAAAAAACCTGGAAATATATACATTAAAATGTTTTATTATTTCTGAATGTTAGGATAGTAAGAGTTTTTTTTCTTTTTTTTTTTTTTACTTCTCTTTCAATTACTAAACATAATGAACATGTACAACTTTTGTAAAAGGGGAAAAAGATACAACGAAAAATAACTTAGTCCAATCTTGCGTGGTCCTGCTTCCGTGAAGTCTTTGCTCACATCTTGTTCTTTGAAGGAAGCCTTTGAAGCCCTCACCTTTGAAGCCTGGGAGCAGTTTATTTGAATCTCTCTCATGATACATCTTATTCCACCTTGTATGTATCTAGAAACAATTATCTTGGCGTTACTTTTTGAGGTCCAGAATTCATTGTTGTCTCTTTTTTAACGTCTGTCATGTAGGTGTCTGATAAGCATTTGCTGTGTTAGGTATGATGTAAATATCCACAACAGTGTAACAAGTGGCATCTGTAAAGAACTAGGTATGAGGAGTGAGAGCTGGTTTTTGGCAGAGTGGGGAAGGCGTGTTGAGCTTCAGGAAATTAAGAAGCAGCAACATATGTACATTCCCTAAGTTCTGACAATGAGTACCAGTGTGGCAGAATTATCCTGAAGAATCTTGGGAAGTGACATTTCTAACCCTAGATTGGCATGGACAGAGGTACCGATAGTGCCTGCCTTGACCACGTCAATTGCATTGTGCAGGAAGGCTGAAATTTGCCTATGGAATCCGACTGTTGCCACAGAGAGCTGAACCCAGTGGAATCAATTTCAAGGAGGAAACTCTTACAACTAGAATAATTTCAAATGTGAAATGGCCTGGTTGAAGAAAAATAAGTCCACATTTGTGTGGTGCTCTTCTGGCTTTCACTGTGCAAAATGCATTTCACTCGACAAGAGTGTAGAATTATGTGATTTATGAAACTATCCCTTTCCTCTAGGAGCATAAGTGATGATTTTTGTGGTTAGTGGTGATGAGCAATTAGCTGAGGAAAGGTGACTCCTGCTCCAAGCTTCCTTCTATTCCTGCCTGGTTTTTGGCCCAAGTCTAGGTCTGTAAAGTTTGAAGAAACCCATGTAAAGTCATGTCTTTTGAACTCTAATTGAGCAGCTTTCACAGGAGCTGCTACCAGCCTGATTGGCTTAGCAGCATTTTCTCTTTTTCCAGCTCAAAAAAAAAAAAAAAAATTGAAACCAGGACTGAGTCTGATAAAAAATTTTGGAAAATAGAGAAAGATATTATGCCTGCTTCCTTCCAGTGTAGATTACCATGGAGCTTTGTGGTAAGCATCTTAGATGTTGTTCCATCTTGGCACTCAGACTAGGCTAGTACTTCCATTGTTTTTAAAGTAGTAAAATAAGTATAGGAAGATGAAAAAAATAAGTACATTTTGTTCTGATAAAATAAGGAAAACCACCTTCTCCTCACATCCAAGTGAAGCTAACGCCTTAAAGGAAGGTGAAGATTCCAAGGGATTCCTGAAACCACAAGAAATTATGGTAATAAATTAGATGCCTCCTACTAAAGGTACACACTTCCCAGAACAGAGTTTTACAGGCACTCTGTAATGGTGCCCACCAACCAAAATGAAGTTTATTGATATGCCAGATGTTGTTTACTACACCAAGAACAAGGCACAGTTTCTGCCTTTGAGGTGTTTATCATCTGGTGGGGAAGACATACAAGCTAACATGGCAATTTTAAAATTAATGGTGATAAGTGCTGTGATAATTATAAGTGTCCAGGGCTCTTTGGAGTACAAGGGAGAAACATCCAAATGCTAGAGGTTAGGGGAAATCTTTGGAGAAATGACATTTGTTTTGAGTCTTGGAGGATGAGTAGTACAAACAAGGAGATGTAAGGAGTCTCCAGGGAACAGTTGGATGGGGACAGTTTTATAGACAAAGGTCTAGAGGCAAGAGATTGTGGCCTGTTGTATTATTTCACAAAGATTTGGGAGAGGGAGTTGAAGATAGGGGGAAGGTAGAAATAAGGCTGGAGATGGAGGCAGAGGCCAGATCATAAAGTGCCTTGTAAAGCAGTTTTAGAGTTTGGAATTAGTCCTAATGGCGGTAGGGTAGATGGAATGTGAAGGAAAGCTGGCAAAGTAGCCCGTGTGGAGAGAGGAATAACTGAAGACTGTCTGAGATATGCAAGATACAAAGCTTACATTAAACAACTCAGGGAGAAAGCAAGTTAGGCTGGAAAGGATATTTGAAGCTCAGCTTATGTTTCCTTGTGCCTGAGGATTTTGTCCCTTAAGACATTTCTCAGCTTAGATCTTTGATTAGGTATAGCTGTGGAGCTTGTCAAAACTATACCCAACCATGCCCCCAGTAAATATCTCCTAAGATAAGCCAAAGAACATTTGGAAAAGCTTTTCAGATACGTGAAGAATTTGATCATGCACACACACAGGAGCTTTAAGCTGTGGAGAAAGGTGGGTAAAGATGAAGGGAAGGTGATTGTATCTGCCATTGCAGTGCCTTCTTGTCCAGCACCTTCCAATTCATACCCACTGGCATACCTCAAAGATGACTTATCTAATTGCTAGCATGTGTAACTCAAACAGGGACTTTAAATGTAAGTACTTTCATGTGTTCCCCTGTGCCTTTTTCCATGGAACTAGAGTGTCCAAGATCAGGACAGACCTGAAAATTTTCTTTTTGATTCATGAGGCAAAATAGAACCTAGCAGGTGACATAGCCATAGCTGACTTCATTGCCAACAAGACCAAAAAGATATCTTGAAAGACACGAAAGCACTTCAAAGTCACAAGTCCAAATTTAGGAAGAGCAGAGGAGCATTGCTGTGATTCTTATTCAAACATCCACTAAAAAACTTTTTTTTTTTCCTGACACTTTGGAATTTCAACTGAAAGTGATGATTGGGATATATAATGTACTTTTGTTTACCATATCTTGTAGGAAGCTGGAACAGAAAAGAGTGTTTTCCCCTTGCCTGAACCACAAGATTTCTTTCTGGCCTCCCAAGTCAAGTTTGAAGACCTCATAAAAGACTTGAGAAAACTGAAGAGGCAACTAGAAGGTAACAGGAACTGTTCTGTTATTATGATAATAGCTAAAATTACTTTAAAAATTTTTTAAAGGGATTATTTATGTCTGGCTCATGGAGTAGGGTTGGTGCAGAGTTCACTTAGCGTACACGACAGCCCTCACGAAACTTTCCATCTCTACACACTGTTCAGAGGCACTGTATTTACGTATCCCTCTCTTTCATTAGTGTTGATTATTTGCTTATATCGACATCTTATTATATCTACATTTTCTAACATTTAATAGTTATACATAACATATAATCCTTTAATAAGAATAGCAGCAGCCATTCGTTGGAAGCTTACTGTTGTCTCATATAATTCTGAAAACAACCTGTAAAAAGCAAGAACTACGCTAGCCCCGTTTTACAGATGAGAAAAATGAGGCTTAGGGAAGTTATATTCACACAACCAGGCAGATTTACTGAGCTCAAATCAAGCCTGTCCAAGTAGAACTCACACATTTTCTTAGCTAGTTCACTCTGCTGCTTTAGAGATACATATCACAGACATACACGCATACGTGTCCCTGTATGTTTTTTATGTACATGAATCTGATAATGATAGTAAATGCCACAGTAAACATTCTATTGTGGTTTAATTTACATTTTTAATTATTCAAAACAAAATACTGAAAGCCCCTTTTTGGCTTTTTTAAAAGGTGAAAATATGTCTCACTTGGGCAGGAATTTTCCTTTGGCATTTCTAGCGTCTTGTGTTTTCACTGTGGAGACATCTCCTTGTCCAAGAATATAAATACTTGCTGTGGAGCTTGTGTAACTCCAACTGAAGAGCTCTACGGAGGATTTAGGGAGCGTGTTAATGTGGAAATGGAGCCTGGAGTGCCAAAAGGAGAGCTTGAGGAAATGAAGAGCTTCAACCAGGAATATTTTTACACTAAGACATAAAATAAACATTTTAAAAATGTTTATTGTGAAAGAGTACTCAGAAACCTAAGTCTTAGGCTGAGAACAGCTTGGAAATGGAAGTAAAGTGGGAAAGATCTGCTCCTGGTGGCAGGGAGAGCCATTTATTTTTACTCTAGGCGTAAAGCTTGCTTAAAAAGGATAGTGGTTACAAGTGAATATTTTTACCTTGTATATTATTTTTAAAGAAACATGTGCAGTTTTCTCTCCCACTGATGTGGTTGAAAGAGTGAGTTCAACCAAATGGATGCTTCCTTTAGGGATGCAACACGTGAACATACGGTCACTTTTTTTTCTCTTTTCTAAAGAGTTGGCAGTTGTATCCTTATCTAAGATGGGGAGCTTGGTTTATATTGTTATAAAGCAGGGTAAGCCGTCACCCAGCACTTTTTTCTGTCCCTCTCCAGTGGCAAAATTTGGGCCCAGACCGGTCCTCAGGATGGCGGCAAGGGTTAGCAGCAGCAGAGGAAGACCCAAGCTTGTCTCCTCCGTGGGTTGTCCCTGAATGCCCATTCCTTCTTGTCTCTTGGCTGGTTGTAAAACCCTTGGCCTAACCTCTTTTGTAGTCTTTTGAGCAGAAACTTGATCTCTGTTTGATCTTTCCCTTCTCCTTCCAGAGGCAGCCCGCCCTGGACATCCCTGTAAGTTTGATGATAAGTAGCAAGAGGATAGGAAGAGTGAATGTGGAGGACAGTGGAGAGGCAGGGCTTCCCCCAGAGCTTCTCGCTTTGCTACACCTTATTTTGTCTAGAGGCACTTAAGTGTCATTCCTGATCCCTCAGTACTCAACTGACACTTTCCTCAGCCAATTAAAAAAAAAAATACAAGACCTTCTGAAGCTGGTGGAGCTGCTTTAGAAAAGAAAACTGAACATCGCCTTAGCTGTTTGTCTGCTTTGTACTGGGCTTCACCAACAGACATGAAGCGCCACATAGGCAAATGAGGAAATGACTCCCCTCACCCCACACACATTGAATATTTAAACAAAAATGCCCTGCTAATCTTTAGAGATGCCAGTGTTTTCAACACATGAAAGGTACCCAGTAAATATTTAAAGAAAATACAGACCGTGGGTTCTCTAATGAATTTCTTTTTCTTCTAAATACCATCTGGCAAGATGGCCAGCATCGTGGCGGTCCGTTTCATCTCACGTTTCCATTCAGGTTTCACCTCCTTCTCCATAAGGCCTTGGTGTGAGCCGAGATTGAATGTTTAATTGAAGAGGACATAATTTTCACACATACAGCAAAGATTTGATGAGGCTTTGAGGTTTATTGTAGCCATTAAAATGTCGTAGCTGCTGGCAAAATCCCAGAAAATGTCTAAAGCTAAACCAGATGTGATTAGCAAATTTCAAGAAGTATCAGGCCCTAGTTCTCCAGGCAGGCATAGCCCTCGAGAAGAGAAATTTTTTTTTTTTTTTTTGACAGAGTCTCACTGTGTTGCCCAGGCTAGAATGAGTGCCGTGGCGTCATCCTAGCTCACAGCAACCTCAAACTCCTGGGCTCAAGCGATCCTTCTGCCTCAGCCTCCCGAGTAGCTGGGACTACAGGCATATGCCACCATGCCTGGCTAATTTTTTCTATATATTTTTAGTTGTCTGATTAATTTCTTTCTATTTTTAGTAGAGACGGGGTCTCGCTCTTGCTCAGGCTGGTTTCGAACTCCTGAGCTCAAACAATCCGCCCGCCTCGGCCTCCCAGAGTGTTAGGATTACAGGCGTGAGCCACCACGCCCGGCCGAGAAATTTTTTTGATTATTGTTAACCATACCTTAGCAATAGGGTACGAATTAGCCTGTGGTTGCTGGTCGTACTGTCACCTGTTTAAGTAGAGACTGTCAGTAAGCATCTTTCAGAGAGATGAGAACTTTGAATAGCATTTTTGTACAAGTAAACCTAGCAAGGAATTGATAATATCAACTACAATTTATTGTCTGATTATTATCTATCAGGTGCTTTATATATATCATCTCTTTTAATCCTACAATGATCCTGTGAAGCAGATATTATTTTTGACCTCTCACAAGATAAGATGGCTGAAGTTTATGGTGTTCAAGTAGCTTGCCAATGTTTCACAGGTGATGATCTAGCCACATTTTGAAACGAGATGTGACTCTAAGGCATGTGTTCAGTCCCATGACATATCCTGCCTCTGGCTCAGAAGTCTCCATATTTGATCAGTGATGTTCTGTCCAGAACAGAAAAACATGTATTTAAAACATGAAGCCTCATGAAGAGATAAATGACAGAGAGTTACTGAACACATGTGCATGAGTACACACATGTGCACACATTCCCAGAACCACATGTGTAGAATCTCAGATCAGTGACATAGGAAAGAACGTACCTTGGGTTGGGGACAGGAAGGGGGAAGAAGTACAGGATAGCTGGGTTATCAAGTAGACACACAGATATTACATTATATAACATTACATAGGATTAAGAACTTGGGCTTTGGAATCAGATGTGCACTTTTTACTGGTTTGATGAAATTAAGATCATGACAGGTAGCATAACCATAAAAAGTATTCATTTTCTTACCTGTAAAGTGGTACAGTTATAGTACCTGCATCATAGGAAATCATGGATGCATCGTTCTGTAGTGAGGAAAGCTTCAATAGAGCCAATTAGGAGAGTGTACCTTTTATTGGAAAATGTACAACCTATGTAATCAGCCTGTGTTGTTGAGGGGCCAACAAGCTGTGTTTGTGAAGTATCTAATTCCCAGAGCACTTGTACTTTCTTCTTTACGTTGTAAAAACAGAACCAAGTTCTTGGTGCTTGGGAACATGTTCCATATTTTGTTCACTGTTCTATATCCCTTAATCAGACAATTTTAATTTCCCTGATACTGTGATATTTATAAGGAATAGTTGGGAAAACACAAATAACAGCAATAGTTACTTTATTTCTTACTCCTCGACCTTGTTTGCTAGCTAGAACTCTCAGGTTGTTCTTTATAAACCTCCAAACACATCCAAACCCTAATCCCTAGAATCTGTGAACGTGTTACCTTACATGGCAAAAAGGGACTTTGCTGATGTTGAGATGGGGAGATTATCCTGGACTGTCCAAGTGGGCCTAATCTAATCATACAAATCTTTAAAAGCCAAAGACTTTCCCTGGCTGTGATCAGAGGGAGATATAACTACAGAAGAATGATCAGAGAGATGCAATGTCACTGGCTTTGAAGATGGAGGAAGTGGGCAATGAGCCAAGGAATGTGGGAAGCCTCTAGAACTGGAAAAGGCAAGGAGCAGATTCTCCCTAGAGCCTCTAGAAGGGAATACAGCTCTGTCAACAGCTTGGTTTTAGCCCCATGAGACCCATGTCAGACTTCTAACATGCAGAACTATAAGATGATATATTTGTGTTGTTTTAAGCCACTTAAGTTTGTGCTAATTCGTTATAGTAGAAATTGGAAAGTAACCCACCATGCAACGGGTCCTTCTTTCTGATTGTACCAGTTAATACCAGCCACACACGTGTGTATGCACGCGCACACACTCACACTCACACACAGCATTGCTGAGACCATAGATGTAGGATTTCCCGAGTAGTGGCACCCACTGATATGGCATGAAATGTGAATTGGTGCTCTCTAAAAACGATCTATGGTCAAATAAACCTGGAAATGCTCTGAACTAAAATCATATTCAAAGTGTACATGATTACACATTGCTAAAGACTATGGGAAGTCTTACAGTTTAGAAAAAAAAAGATTTAACCCTATTTAGAACAGCATTTCCCAACTTAAAGCATTTCTTTTTTTTTCTTTCATTGGATACTTAGTAATATTTTACAGAACATAAATTGTGTGAAATACAGTTTAAGAAGAAAGGATATTGGTATTACTACCAACACAGTTGTTTAAATAATCATTACTGGGTGACCTTGATAGGAGGAGATGAGGTAAATAGTTAGGGCCTTTGCCCTTTAATATTGCTCTTAATATTCCCTTGGCTGGCCATCCTTACTGAGTTCATTATCCTTGTAAACAAATAGAGTAGGTCAAATCCTGTCAGATGGCTTACTGCCTGAAAGCCAAAATAAATAACACTTAGTG